AAAAAAATACGTTCCTCTTTTCAAACATACTTCTGTAACATTACATTTCATTACCGGGTAGTTATTTATTGTTGGTACAATTTATTGTGTGTGCTCCACTTAGTGCAAAATTTCAGTTTGTTTTCTAAAACCCAATTGTTGGTGAATAAGATTTAATTTGTATTCTTATTGAATAAAGCTTTTTCATATAACAACTTGAATTACTTGTTTGATATTGTAATTTATTTTCACTTTTGCTGGAATTGCTCAGATTTGTCAGTTTCTGGGACATTAAGTCTGCATAGCTAAAATATTTATGTAATGGGCCAATTCTGCTAAGAAAACATGATCAAACATTGCAATATCTACCCGGTATATTTTATAAACAACTAGTTAAGAACAAAATAATCTGATATTAACCTTACGTCTTCAATTTTCTGTTTAAATTGTTAATTATATTGTAAGAACACCATATTCAAATCTTAAATTAATAAATGTTACCATTATCTAGCCAATGCATTTTTTTAGTTATACTTTATGTTACTTATTATACACTGTTATAAAGATAATAAATTGTTTTTCAAAACAGTTACAAATGTTGAAAGTCACTCTAATTATTGTTGTTACTTACATTTGACATTGAGTGTAGCTGAATCACTTGTACCCTCTCCTATAGAATTACTAGCACGACATGTATATATCCCATAGTCACTTCTTACAATATTAGTAATAATCAATGATCCACCATTTAGACTGTATCTACCACCTATAGTGATGTCATCACTGTCTTTCTTCCATGTATATGTAATAATATTAGGTTTACCGGTAGCTTCACACTGTAATTTTACTGAATTTTTACCTTCATTTACTGTCTTGTCTGATGGTGAAGTTGAAATTGTGGCAGGAACTGAGAAAAGAATATACATATACATTACATTGGTTTACCACTATATTATTACGCTTTACAGGATCAAGCTAATGCATCATTAGTATTTTCATTGATATTTTTAATCATGAAATAAAATTTAGAATAAGTTTGCAATATGCAAATTAAGCATGTAAAAATTTGACAATTCATAGGAAAACTATTGTGTTATTGAGAATATTACAGATGTTTTAACTTTACATCTTACTTGAAGATTTTGTCATATGTATGTCAGTCACACTTTGATTATTTAGCATTCAATATCAATATTGCCTCTTTAAATATAGGTGCACCTATCATTAGGCTACACTGCATATTACAATCGCTGATATAAATCACATTTTTATAATTTTCCATAATTCAAAATGTGAAGCCGATTTCATTATTGTTGTTCTTTCAGATTGGTTCATATACTAATGCAAATTGTATGAAAATATGTATATTTTTTTAATATCGTTGTTTGATATAGCATGTTTAGAACAGAATTGATTATAATATATCAAATACTACTAATGTTACTTTTACAGCACTCTGTAGTTTATCTTTTAATGAAAATGAAGAGTGTTGTAGGACAACCAGATAGTGCATCAGCTACAGTTACTGTATATATAAATTATATTCATAATCATACTATTAATGCTTCAATAAATGACACAAGACACAAGGTTTTGGCAAAAGTGGAAGGTGGAGCGAGTTGCGGACGCAGGCGTCGCAGCGAACAGCTCCATGATGTGACTTGCCTGTGAATTGCATCACGACGCTGAGCACGTGGTACCTGGTCGCAACCTTCCACCCGCAGAGACAGTACAGGCGGGCGTCATGGCTGGCATCCCCCTGGCGGGAGCCTGCAAAGAGTCTCCAGGGGGATGGACAGCGTGGGTACCCATGTAAAGTCTGTTTGGTCTGTGGTGGAAACCCTCAAATTTAAAGGCAGGGTGATGCGTTGCAGGAGATGGGGCTTTACACGAAGAGTAAAGCAAACTGGTAATTTATCAAATACTGTAAAGAGTAAAACAAAAAAACAAGCTAAAGAAACCGATAATTTTACAAAGTCTAACGCGATAAGATAAAACAAAGTATGGTTAGACTAATAGAACTAATTAAACTAAATACATTGCAAATACATGTAATGAAATGAAATCTTAAAATTAATGACGAAGATACAGTTAATAGCAAAGCAGTCAGCAATTGGACAAGTGACCCGGAACTGAGCGGATGATGCTGGGGGTTGTGCGAATGTAGGTCTGGTAAGTGTCGCTGCGCCATCTGCCCAGTGCCTTGATCAACCAGTTCAGAAGATTTGCATCGGCAGCTGTCGTGGCCACACCACTGCGGAAACTGTGAGTAGTGTAACGCTTAACATCTGGTACGGATGCATGAGTGAGAAGGTCTTGAAAGTGGTTGCTAACAGCTTGCCTCATGAGGAAAGTACAGTTGGCGAACTGGAATGCAGGTAGGTGAGCAACGGAGCTATGTAGTGCTCTGTATGCCTGGTATGCCTGCACGGCGCAGACCGATGACTGAGAGAGTGCGATGATGATGTTACATCCCCGGCGGAATGGGTCTGTCTTGGAAGCCTTGAGCGCATGACGAGGTCTGTGTTGCACATGATGTCTGCTGTCAGTAAAGTGCGTTGTGGATCGAAGGTGGTTGAAGCGGGTGCCACAAATTCACTGACTCAAGAAGCCGAAGAACGCCAGTGTAAAGGCAGACCACAACATAGATTTATCATGGTTGCAAATAGTGGGATGGTTTGCGATGGTGTCCTTAAGAATTCGCATTAATTCAATGGTGATTGGGAGTTTTACATGATTTGGTACGCCTTGATGTCTTTTAATGCCTTGCATAGTGAAATGAAGCAGCAGGTGGTCACAGCTTCGATGTGTGCACGGATGATAGCTGCGAGGTAAACTTTTAGCGTACCATAGGTAAGTGACAACGTTGCGAGATGTGTCATAAACAGAATTGTTGAGCGTTGCATTAGTGGATAAGGATACATTCCATACATGCGACAGAAGAAAAGATAGTGAGTTTGTCCCGCATGATATGTCCGTTGTGTACCTAGTGCGATGTAGTGGCAGGCTTGACGTGTGAGGTTGACTGGACTAAGTCACACATCGGAGCCGTTAAGAGCGTCCACAGGTCTGGAGTTTTGGTTGGGACCCTGTCTGCTTGAGGGGCCAGTCGTTGAAACCGCAATATCTGTTGACAGGAGAGAGAGTCAGCGATATCGTTATTAAACCCTGAGATATGTGCGATCATGACATGAAAGTTATTAGATGTTGTAAGTAGTCGGACAAGTTGCATAATCCGTGGACATGATGAGGAGCCTTTTTTCCATATT